CACTAACGCCTCCCTCTCCCTGCGGAAGGTCTAGATCCTCTGCCTCCGGAAGGACGCCCGCGGCCTCTCCCGGTGGACTGTCGACCACGCGCTCCTCTCAAGCCCCCTCCACCACCTGTGCCCTGCGCACCGCTGATGTATGTCGCCTGTGCTACCGCGGCTGCCGCGGACAAGGCCGCTCTATGTCTGCGGACTGCAATGTCGATCGGCTCGGACTCTGTGTCCGCATCCTCGTCCTCGGCCTCCGCTGCAGCAATCGTCTGTCGCTGCCTCTGAATCGCGTCCAATGCAGCCTGGCCGGCGGCAAGCTCTGCTGCGAGTCGAGGTCAACCTCCATGATGACGCTCTGTCGTCTACTCCCACTCCGCATCAGCAACCCCTCCTCGCTAGATGTGTAGTGCTGACCCTGCTGCATGTCCGCAGCTGTCCCTCGGGCCGGAATCGGCGGTGGGATCAAAACTCTCCTCGTCGCTGATCGAGACAAACCGAGCATGCGGCCTGCCATGTGAACACTTGGACGTCCGGAGCCGCCCTCGCTGCTGGCCACAACCTGAAACCGAGGTGACAAACGTCCTGCGAAGGCGCCCCTCCCGGCGTCGTAATCCACCCTCAGCCAGTCCGAGACCCGGCGATAAGCTGCCCATCCGCCGGCAACACCACCTGCGACAGGCGGAGGGGAACCGGCAACGGCCGCACGGGCGGTAGTCGCGTCGACGCCGCCCTCCATGCTTTGTGCGGGTGGCGGAGGCATCGATCCGGCAGATCCGTCGCCGTCACTGCGGCGGCCCGACCCGCCATCAACCAGCCCGGACTCCCTCCCTCTAATGCCGCTGAGCGAAGAACCTGACCATCTAGGGCTATCCACGATGTACGGCGGAGGCGAATATGCCCCTCCAGGAGGGCGCCTCTCGTCGCTCCTGCGGCCCGTGTGGGGGAAAGGGTCATGTGAACCGAGTCGCGCCGAATCCTCAGCATCAAAACCAGCCTGAGCGAAGGCCTCGGGCCGTGTGAGAGGTATTGTAGGCACTGACGGGTCCCTCAAGACCAAAGCCAGCCTACCCTCATCGCCGTGGTCGTCGCCGTGGTCGCCGTCGTCGCCGTCATCGCCGCCGTCGTCGCCGCCGTCGTCGCCGTGGTCACCGTCGTAGTCACCGTGGTCGTTTCCGTGGTCGCACCCCTCCTTGTCCACGCCGCCACCATCTCCCTCCTCATCCTCGCCGCCACCATCTCCCTCAACACCCATGGGTACACCATCTCCCTCAACACCCGTGGGCACACCCTGTCGGCCCGCCTACGCATCAGCCTCCCCACCAAAACCCACGTCGCCTTCGTCACCACCACCACCCCTCCCTGTCTCCAACTCCCTCCGTCGGCGCTGCTCCTCCATATATGCGAAACGACCCTCCCATTCCGGCAAAGTCCGCAGCCGCTCCTCCTCCTCTCTGTCCACTCGGGCATCCCGCTCCTCCGCGGTCTCTACATGGCCCTGCACATCAGAATCGTCGAGGAGCACGTCCGACAGTGAAGCACCCCGCTGTCTCGGGGCACTGAGATCCCCCAAACCCCCGCCAGAGCCGCCGACGTAGAAGTCGTCGGTGCGCAGCTCGGACGGCGAGCGGTGGCGGACACCGGCGCCGGATGGAGTCCTTTCCATCTCCGGAATGTCCCCAAGCCCGGTCCCCTCATGATGCTCGCTTGCTGGTGTCTGCTGTCTCTCCGCTGCCGATGCCGACCTTGTCCTCAGCCTGGTAGGCTCGGGCGCTCCCGTGGTCCGATGATGAGAGGGAGAGAACTGACGATCCCGAAGGCGCGCCTCCTCCTCCTCTTCCGCCCCCTCCAGCTCGCTGTCGCTCCTGACCTCCCAATGTCTGCCCGTCTGTCGAAGGCCTCCGACTGGTTCGTGCTCCTCCACGTGCTCATCGGCACGCAGTCTTCGTCGACGACGACCACCGGCTCTGCCGGTGCCACTGGCCTGACCACCGGACGGCACATCGTCAGTGATGATGGATGTGTGTGGAGTCATGGTGTAAGGTCCTCCGCAGTGTCGCCGTCCGTATCGGCGTCCGACGTCTGCTCCGGCCACGGCCGTAGCTCCACCGCCCTCTTGCCAAACACGTCCTGAACCGGGTCGGCTCTGGACGGTCGACAAGCATGGAAAGCGACGACCTGGCGCTCGATGTCGTGCTCGCTGAAACTGCCAGCAGGTCGAGCTCCCCACACCTCGGGGTCCACGTCCCCCTCGTCATCCTCCTGCCCTCCCGCGGTCTCCTCCTGACCGGTCCCCATAACCCAGGGCAACACGTAGCGATTACCCTGCTGTGCGCATCCGGCCAGTTTGAGATTGGAGGCAATCTCAACCAGCTGTGCAAGCCAAGCTTGTGGCGCCTCGCCGTGTTGATGCGCTCGTGCTGCACCCAGTTCCTCTCCGCATGAGAGGCGGACGTCCACAAGTGCATCACACGGATGGCGTTGGTGCGCAAGTCAGGGTGATGACGTCCATGATCAAACCACCACTGGGCACAACGCTCAATCTCGCGGTCCCCCCGACAGTCGTCGGCCTCGGCATCGGACAGCAGTCGACCTCCCCAATCTCCCCGCCGCGAGTGGAAATGCCTAATCTGGTCACGGACTGTCCTGTATAGTCTGCCGACCGGATCGCCGCCAGTCTGTGCGGGCAGGAATCTGTCGCACTCCTCGACAACACGGGCGTCCTCGGTAGTCGTCTGCAACGGCTCATAATATCGGAGGGACCGGCGGCGAGGGTTGAGGAGGTGTGCCACAGCATGTGCGGGCTCGAGCATGTGGAGGTTGCGGACGGCAACCTCGCGCACGCAAGGCTCGACCATGTCCGCCGGCACATCCACCCTCCTCATCAACTCCAGAAGATGCTGACCCCACTCGTAAACGATGGACATCATCATCCCCCCTCTATCCATCCTCCTCAAGAGCTGGTGGATGGGCGACATAACGCGGATGGCACAGTCAACACATCGCCAGAACTTTGCCGTCGCGGATCTGCTGCTGAACCCACTGGGCCTGGGAGACAAGCCTGCGCTCCCACGGGATGCGAGCCCACGCGTCGCCATGCAGCATGCTCTCTAATGCGTTCCGCCGGCCTTTGAGACACGTCAGCATCAGGAAAACTGATGCAAACCGGGTCTCAACGGGCTCAACCAGCGTGACACGAGGGCTCATCCTCCTGAAAAGGGCGAACGCAACGCCGTGTGATTTAATAAATCGCACTAACGCTCGGGCACGGATGATGGTCTCCTTGACCGACGCCACTCGCGTCCCGACATCTGACAACATCAAGTTGCAGATGTGGGTGGAGCAGGGAAGCCAAGTGATCCTCCTGATGTCTGCGTCGGGGTCGGTGGCGAATCTGCGGGCCGCCGCCATATAGTTACTGGCGGAGTCCGTGCAGAAGCCGATCACGTCCTTTGCAGGAAAGGACAAGATGATGGCCCGCCACCTGCGGTACACGATATCCGCAGTGTCGCGGACAGACCCGTCACGTGCGACGGTGGCGTACAGCAGGGCTCCGTTGGCGCCCCCCGCCACGAAATTCACGAGCGGCTTGTCGTTGCGCGACTTCCTCCCGTCCGAGAGGATGGTGGCACCGGTGTGCCGAAAAGCAGAGCGCACCTCGCTCACCATCCACGCCACCTTCCCCCTCTGCGATGGGATCCCGGTGCCCACTGTGACCCTGTACGAGGGAAACCGGAACTGAACTGTCTGCGACACTCTCTCTGCCGCCCGCCAAACCCTCTGGAACTCCGGACCTCGGAAGGCGTTGAATGCCAACCCCTTCGCGTAGATCCACTGCAGCCACGCTTCATGGAACTCGGCCAACTTCTCCTTGTCGTACATCTCGTCGATCGTCGTCTGCCGAACCCTCTTCTCCCTGGCCGGCTCTCGCACCTCGACGTTGCCCTCCCCCACCGGCCTCTTCTCCCTCCTCGCGCGCTCCAACTCAGGTCGTGGTGCCCTAGGAGTGGGACCTGCTCGACCGATGCCTCTCGACGTCATCACCACCTCCTCCCCTGGCAGTTCAGGGTCTCCGACTGCCTCGTCAGCCTTCCCCCCCTCCCCCAACCCTACCCTCGAGACCCTCCTCCTCCACCTCATCGAGGGCGTCCTGAACATCGTCCCTCTCTCCCTCGTCCATCCGCTGTCGGTGCCCACCCGTAGCCGCTCTTGTGTCCCGTACCCCCTCGTCACCCATCCACCTCTGCACCCGCCGAGCAGTCGCGGGCTTGAATGTGTAGATCGTGCCGTTCCATAATTCCGCGAGAACTCTCATCCCCGCAGCCTTGCAGTACTTCGACTGCGTAAAATGGCGCATGGCCTTCCCCACATTTCCCTGAAACAAGTGGCCGCAAAAGTTGCAACGCAACTTTCAGTCCCCATGCATCTTCGCCTGGTTCCCCACATGCTGTCTCGCGGTGACGAAGTTCCAAACCACGTTCCCCTGCCTCAACTTCGCCATCTCCCTCTCAGACTGCGCGATGAACCCCCTACCCGCAGACCCCCCCGTACCGCTGGTCCCCGTAACCCCCGTCATCGTCCCCTGACCGTTCTAGCACCCGGCCGCAATCGGCCGCGACCGGCCTCGATCGGCCGCGATCGGCCGCGATCGGCCGCGGCCGGGCATTAAAATCGCCGCGCGCGTAAAAGGGTCGCGCGGCGATGGTGGCCGCCCACGACCTCGCGCTGGGCGATGGCAGCGCAACGGCGGCGGCCTCCTGCGATCGTGCGACCCAGCCCCGCGCAAAGCAGAAGAAGAAGAAGAGGGTGAAAATCTCTCTCTCTCTCTCTCTCGCGCGCGCGCGTGCGCCGTAGCGATATCTTCAACACAGCAGGTAGTAACCCAATCTTGTATCACTCATCTCTCTCTCTCTCTCTCTCTCGCCGTAGCGATATCTTCAGCGCAGCAGGTAGTAACCCAATCTTGTCTCTCTCTCTCTCTCTCTGCCTTGCCTTCGCATTTGTTTGTTTCTTGGAGATCCGTCTCTCTCGCCGTAGCGATATCTTCAGCGCAGAAGGTAGTAACCCAGTCTTGTATCACTCATCTCTCTCTCTCTCTCTCTCTCTCTCTCTCCCCTTCCCCCTCACTCTCTCTCTCTCTCTCTCTCTCTCTCTCTCTCTCTCTCTCTCTCTCGTCGTAGCGATATCTTCAGCGCAGTAGGTAGTAACCCAGTCTTGTATCACTCATCTCTCTCTCTCTCAACATGAGAGCAGGCAGTGCGGCAGCCTAACGGCAACAGCAACAACTGTTGCCTTTTCAGATAAATGGCAGCATTTATCTGAAACGGCAACAGATTTG